TGGATGGCACGAGAAGAGTTGATCGTATGGTATACTGATATCCAAACAGAGAAGGCGGGTCGTTGTGGCATGAGGAATATCTCATAACCACTCAGGATGAAGTAGATGCCATGCTCGAATTCTTGAGATCCAATAATCTTTCCAAAGCTGAGATGTTCATTTACACCGAGACGGTCGAAGGCGTTGGAGGTAATTCTGGAGACGGGCAAATATCTGGTATCCATGGTGGAGGTGAATTATATGGAGATCATCCCTACCAAAGTTACCATGATCCTCATTCCTACTTTCAGTACCAAGAGCAAGGTGAAGGTCATCATTAATCTTTCCCATCATATGAAGAAGAAGTCCAACGGGACCATATCAACCAACCCGAGTACAACTTTCATTCAGGCAGCGGCAGTTTTCACAACTACCATTACAGAGTTGATGAAGGTGTCTTTCATGATCTAGATCAAATGGAAGATGCCCTGCCAGCACCAGTTAGTGACCTCTCCGATGAAGAAGAAGTGAGCAATGTTAGTGCAGACAACTCCAACCCTCTTGAAGTTGCTGATGATTCAGGAGGCCCAGAGTCAGAGTCAGATGATGATGATGAGGTGTCTCGTGACCGTGTACCCAAAGCAGTCAAAATCCGGATTTTACCTAAAATCACTGGGGTAAAATCGGAATCGTAAAATCGAATCGTAGAATCGTAGGATTTTAAGTACCATATTGAAATTAATATATAATGTTAATAAGGTAAATCATTAATAACACAAAAACATATAACATTTAAAATGATAAGTTTCAAGTTTAATGTTCCAAAATCATCATTTTAATTGTTATTTAATGCATAACTCAAAATAATATATGAGGAAGGGATATAGCTCATAGCGTTTGGCTGTTGTTTTCATGTTGTGTTTAGGTAGTTTAACTCAAAGTAGTATTTCGACATTGTCTATTAAGCATGATTTAAAACTAAGAATAAGTGAACTCCAATAAAACAATTACTGTGATTAGTTTGGTACAATTATATTCATTAATTAATTATTTGTCAATGATGATGTTAATTCTTACGTATTTACAATATTATGATAGTTGTTTTATCGATGAGTTAAACAAGGGGAAGGGAAAGGGGTTAAACTAACACTAATTTGTTTTTTTTCTTTTGAAATGTTCTTTTAATAGGAAAATTATCTGAGAAGATCCCTCTCATTGCCCTTTCCACCGAAACCTTTCTGCTTCTTTTTAATTAATTCAAACCACCTATTTTGTTCACATAGGATCAAAATCTCGATTTTGGTACGATTTTAACGATTTTAATCCCGATTTTGAACAATTTTAAGGTCCACCGATTTTATAGTAAAATCAGGATCGGAATTCCTAAGTAAAATCGTAAAATCCTACGATTTTACGATCAAAATCCCGATTTCGACTGCATTGCGTGTACCTATTCCGTACTACACTCACATTCCAGACGACAATTGGTGTGTCGACAGCGACATGGGGCCGCCAGAGGTCCCAGTATGGGGTCCACTCACTGGGTTTATGAAGGCCAACAATTTGGTTCAAAGAAGAAGGTGCGATACGCCATTGAAACCGAAGCAATGACTCAACATTTTGAATGACACACAACTCGTTCCAACACGTAGAGGCTCATAGTCAGATGTCGTAATCAACAAGAGGTATGCAATGCTAGGATTCGGGGCATCAACAGCAAGAGACACGGCTATTGGGCCATATCCCGTGCGGTGAACACACACACATGTGTGTCATCCATAACATCCCAAGGCCATCGATAGTTGAAATCCAGGGTGGTGGCCGCGGTTATCAAGCATCTAATTGAGCAAGATCCTGACCTGAAGGTGAAAGTCATAATCGCTGACATTACAAGTCGTTAAGGTTATATTATTAACTATAAGAAGGCGTGGCATGGAAAGCAGAAAGCTCTGGCCGCCGTCTTTGGTGATTGGGAAGAATCATTTGCATTCCTTCCAAGGCTGATTTTGGCATTGGAGGTGTCTAACCCTGACACGGTTTTCTTCCCTCGATACCAAGATGAAGAGATACAGCCGCCAGAGTCCGGTGACAAACGCCATTTCAAACGTCTTTTTTGGGCATTCAAGCCATCTATTGATGGTTTTGGATTTTGTGTCCCTGTGATCCAAGTGGATGGTACATTCCTTTCCGGCAAGTACAAGGCCACTCTCCTGATTGCCAGTGGTGCAGATGCAAACATACAAGTCTTTCCTTTAGCCTTCGCCATTGTTGAGGGAGAGAATGCCGATAGCTATGGATGACTTTTCCGGCAAATTCAGCTCCACGTCATCAGGAGAACGAACCTGCCAATCATCTCTGATCTACACGCCGGCATCAGAGCTGCCATCTTAGGTTTCGATCCAGCCTGGAAGTGGTCCCAAAGGTGGTGCATACGACACTTCAAGAGCAATTGGAACCATCATTTCAAGCGGAAGAAGCTTGCTGATAATTTATGGTGGATTGGTAAGCTCTCTATTTCACTGGTTGTTTAATTTTGTCAAATAACAATAGCTTATATCTAATTCAATGCAACACTTGTTAGACTCTTTTTAAAAAGATGCATGCCTAAGGAAATGGAGTTTTAAGCTATTATCATGATTCTCTCATTCCCTGGGAAAATTGGGTATTAAGGGGGGGGGGGATCCAAGGATCGCTTAAAACCCGATTTTCCTAGGGAATGGGAGGATCATGATAATCGCTGAAAACTCCATTTCCTTAGGCATGCATCTCTTTATAAAGAGTCTAAGTAAGTGGCGCTATGTATTCGATTAAATTATTGAAAACAACCAATACGATTAAAAATGATCAAATTTATTTTATATTCCACTAAGTACATTAACAAATTAAAAGAAAGAGAAATGATGAAGAATTATATGTACCTCGTGATCGTTCCAAACATCCCTTGAACGATAGTTGGGTTGGTCGTACAACACGGTTGGATCACTAGGCCCTTGATCAACATAATACCGTTGGTTGTATATATCCACGTCGTTCCCAACCTACGAGAGAATAACAACAACATTAGTACATAGATTAATTGAAAAGGTTATAAAAACAACATTTGGTAAATGAGTACCTACCGCTTGAAATTCATCATAATAAATTCCCTCTTCTTGGAACCACTCGTCCATTTTTTCACGAAAACTTTCATTATTCCTAAAAGAGTTCCTTCCTTATTATTTATTTTATTGATAGCACTGGAAAGTCAGACAGAGATTCGGCGGGTTTTGAAGGAAAAGCCAAAGAAATGTTTTCTGATGGCAGATCGGACTTAGCCGCAACCAACAGACCATTATTTCCTAGGCTTTTGGGAGGGGAGGGGGATGGATAGAGAGAAAATTTTAGAGAGAGAGAGAGAGAGAGAGAGAGAAGAATGGGTTGTGGTGTGAAAAAATGAGGAGGGGTGGGGGGTATTTATAGTTTTCAGACCGCACCCTCCAGGGGCGGTTCCGTAATTTTTTCTATTCTAAAACCGCACCAGGAGGGCGCGGTTCACGGCGTTCGAGGCGCTGACCGTTCCCCAGGCGCGCGGTCTTCGACCCCTAACGCGGATCGCTGCGCTGGCGTGCAGTTAGCCGTTGGATCGCCGCCTCATCCAACGGTACTGGGGACCGCCGTCTCGGGAACACGGACCGCACGCTGACAGTGCGGTTTTGGGGCTGCCCTAGCGGGGACCGCTCCCTCGTTGTGCGGTTTGCACATAAAACACACCTTGAAGGTGCGGTATAGGATGAAAGGTGTTATATTTGGAATTTGTGTGGGCTGAGTGCTATTTTTGTATTTTTTTTTTAAGGTGCTATTATTGGAAAAATCCCAAGAGGTTGTAGGGCGTAGGCAGAATTAGATGTCATTTTTATTTTCCCTTGTTTTCTTAATCGACTCATATCTTCTTCGTTTTCCCTAGTTTTCTTAATCGACTCTACAAAACGAGATCCATTTACAATATTTTTTTAGGAAAATTGTTTTGGCCTCTCGGTACCAACTGCATACCAAATGGTATCTTCTTCTTTTTTAATTCGTTTTTGAAAACGTTTGCACAGAAGGAACGAGTTCATCATGATCTATTGGATCTACAAATTTCTGGGTGAACAAATTACAGGACCAAAAAATACTACACAATACCACAAAAAAATTTGTGGTACGGGGTGGTATCTTGTGGTATACAATGTTAAAAGTCGTAAATAATATTTAATATACTTCTACTACCATGTATTCAACCATCCTACAGTCTTTGTTTGTTCATACCACCATGGTACGCTTTTCAAACCATAGGTATGCTCTTATTTCAATACCAGTCAATACCATATGGTATAGACTGGTAAAAAATGACTCAATTTTTTTTCAAAAATATATCAAAGTGGATATCATTTTGAAGAGCACAATTAATCTGATCTAACTGTGCAAAAAAAATTAAATTTCGACTTAAAACGAGTGAGAAATTGTATATCAAAGATTGAGGAAGGGAAAATCAAAATAGATGTCATGCTGATGTGAATGGGTTATTCATGGTTACTCACGATACTGATCCGTTCCCCTAAACTACAAGTACATAATATATAGACCTAATAACCCGATAAATTCCCTTAAAACTCCCCATATTTAACTATTAAACAAAAAGTATTGGAAACTCCAAAATAACAGAAATGCCGCAAACATAAACAATAATCCAAATATCTCAATACCCAATAGAGACCAGGTTTCTATCAATTAATTAGGAGTGAGGAGATTTCTGGAAGAGCACTATTACCATCAAACCTTGAAGAGAGGAGGAAGCATTTATTCCCTAATACAAGTACACTTAGCTAATAGCTAACTAGCATTTGATTTTGATGATCCAAAACATGGCCCTCAAAACTAGACAGTCAGCTAACGGTATAAGCGGTAATTTGATTTAAGCCCCCTCACCATTTTCTTAAGTGAAAACCCTCCCAATAATTCCCAACAAAACACTTCAATTTCAGCAGTAGCTACCCTCCCCGCCGTCACGTACCGCCGCCAGGGTAATTGCAGCCATTGTAGCCTGGCAACATTATTTCAGAGACAAGAAACTAAAACATTCAGAGAATTGATGATCGCCAATGGCTACTAGTAGCGATGCAGGACAAGATATAATTAATAATACAATATGATCAACGACGGATGGAAGATGAATTACTGGGGTTCTTGGAGGACAGGGCGGCGGTCTGCGAGAAATCGCAGTTCCAAGGGCGCTTGTCGGAGCGCTGGAAGTAGAGGTTCATGGCGTAGGCGGCGTGAGAAGCGAGTGTGTTGGGCTCGAAACACGCGCCGCCTGGCTGCAGAGGGCCGCAGTCGATGCCCTGCTGCCCGCACACGTAGTCCAGACTCGCTTGCAGTTGCGCGTCGGAAGCCCCTGCTTTTGGCACGCACCATCGCTCCTGCCCCGCCGCCGGCGATCCTCCGCCTGATGATGGCGTTTTCTCCGACGACGATGGTGGACTCTGCCAGGAATTTCAGACACGAAACTAGAGGTGTCAAATGAGCAAAAAGCCCGCCTTTACACACAAGTAATTTAGGGGAAATTTCCCACACTATAAGGATTAGTGTAAAAGAAATTCTCACAATACCACACTTAGCAACAACAAAAAATTCAAAGTACTAGAATTTGACAAGGTTCTCTCCTGTGTCAAGCGATTTGTGTGGTGGTTTGCTGGAAAGAGGCTCGATCTACTCCTGGATTGGGTGGATCACAAATTCACAACCGACCCAAGCGAACCAGCATTGAAACCAACATGGATCGCGGCACTCTCAAGCGAATCACATCATATTGCTGATGATCCCACAATCTACACCTAATCTAGGTCGAAACTTTGAACAATAGTAATTTCGCACTCAGTTATCTGATCGTAGCGAAATCAAAAGAAATTTTTTTTCTACGATCGGATACATAGCACAAAATCACATTCTTTCAAAGTTTTGACCTAGGTTAGTGGTAGATTTGGAGTTGGTTCGAGGCTTAATTCGTTCCGGTCTCCCACGATCCGAGTGATTCGAGGATGCTTCCCTCGTATTTGGCGCGATCCAGCTGGTTCGCTTCGGAACGGCGCGATCCGAGTTGGCTTGAGGGTGGTTCGCTTCTATTTGATGTGAATGGGGTTGGATGGAAGTAAATCTCTCCTGAACCACGTACTACCTAATTCACTTGACATTAACACTAGAGCGAACCACGTCAAACTCTAGTATTGTGAAAATTTGTTGTAATAACCCTTGTATTTAGGGAAAATTTTCCGCAATTTAGAGGAGTTTAATTTAAACGTACCGGCTGGCTGGTGCTGCTGGTCTTGGAGAGGCCGACGTCGTAAGTCATGGAGAGATCGGGCTTGAAGAGGCCGAAGCTACGTTCCGACAAAGGCCCCGGCTTAAGGTCCTCGTCGTAGAGAGCGAATAGGTACGTGTCGACGGATTTGCCAGGCATCAATGGCGTTCCGGCCATGGATCTGAGGTGGGCAATGAGGTTGCCATTGTAGGCTCTGGCGTTCTCCACGCTCGGCCCGACTTCGTTCGGGTCGCCCTTGTACGGCCACCCTGTCTCGGCGACCATAATGTCTATGTCCTTGAACCCAATTCCGTTCAGCGCCGATCTCACTGCATCAACCTGTGGGCACAAAGAATTGCAAAAGGCAAAGGTTTGGATTATTATGGAACGGAACACAAACATGTTTTCATTGTGAAAAATCCAACCTTAGGAACAAATTGACGTATACTTGAAGTAGTGTTTGGTTTAGGTTAGAAAGGCACTACTTTTTACATATTTCAAAGTGGGATTAAATTATGGTTTCCCAACACAAATTTGGTTAGGTGATAGTAGCGTTTCTTGAACTCAAAACTCGTAACACACAACGTACAGCCCATACCACACAATCTCTTCCGCTAGCTACATTAACCGTATATTAAAGACATGAGAAGCTCAAGAGTTGAGATGACCATTTCTTCCCCTCAAAAGCAGTCATTTTTAACCCAATTGGATGAAATCTGGTGATAAGAGACAGTTTTGTTCGGGTGGGTGACCGTTGGATGAAAGCGCGATGACAATTTTGTAAATAAATGGACATTACTTCCATCCAATGGCCAGATGGTTGAGCGGCTTGTGGGCATGTTCTCGCAGATGCCCTTTGAACACCATAGGGGCAGAAGTAACAAGTTTTCTAAGTGGAGTGATGAAAGACCAAAACCAATGCATCATTTCATTGTCCTGCCTCAGCCTCAGCAATCGGGGTCCATCAACCCTATCTTGTGGTTGTGGATGTGCAATAATTGACATTGAGAGACTCTTGGTCTAAACAGGCAATCATATTTCTTTGGTAGCTTCCTAGTAATGGCCAGGCTGTCAATCCCCAGAATATATTCAATCACATAGACACAAAACGAGTCCAATCAAGTTCCAACCAAGGTAATTAGTAACGTGTTCCTCTTTTCCTAATGGAATCTTTCATAACAAAACCATAGCTTAAAAATAATTGAGCTCGGAAATAGTTGATGTATGACCTCATTAATTTTCCAAATTCCCCTCTTCCTTGAGTGGCTACTTCCTTCTTCATCAATCATCTCTAGGGCTACCAGCGAGTAGCCTGACTTGACTACTGAATGGGATAGGCATAAGGACCAAACTCGACCGCTAGTTTCGCAATCGAACAAATTAGACGATTGATAACGCGTAAACATATCCATTTAGCGTAATAGTCGAATTTCCCCTCCTTCCCTGTAATCATATGTAAAAACCACTATATATATGTTTTTTCACATTCACTTCATAATTCAACACTAGTAAGTGGGAACCCAACGTGACATTTTTTTGTTTGTTTGTTTTCGGAAACAACAAATCCATGATGATCTACAAATGCAATTTTTTCATAGTTTTAATTATTAATAATATTGACTTTCACGTTCCTTACATCACAAGATAAGGTATGAGAAAATATGATGAAGGAAAGTAACAGCTAACAATGGCAGAATCTAGTTCTTCCACGAATCCTACGTCAGTATTATATTTTCCACGCGTATTATCACATGCGCCTGTCCTACGTACATTTGTCTTCTGGGTAACGCTACCGAAATTGGGCTTTGGGCCCACTCACAGCCCATCAACTAATCTCTAGCTAGGTTAATTAATGGATTAAGTGTCCTAATCCCAAAATTTCCGTTTTAAATTAATTCAAAAATTAAATAATGGAAATTTTCAAACGAGTTGGAAAAAAAAAATGAAAGGGAATTGACTCTGACCTGAGCGTCAAACATGTTCATGTACTTGATCCCACTACCCGAGTCGACCCGCCCGGCGTTGGGCTGGAACAAGCAAAACGCCAGCGTTTCGGGCCTCGGGTCACTCTGGTACGCGAAGAACGGGTACGGGTTCACGGCAATCGGGGACCCGACCGCTCTCTGGAACTGCAGCAGCGCCTTCATCGCGTCCAGATGCGACGGGTCGAACGAACCCGAGGAAGGCGGGTCGGACCGACCCAGTATGGACATGGAGTGGACGGTGGAGACTTTGACCTTGCCGCCGAGGGACGCCGAGTTGAGCGCGTTCTGCACGTTCTGCATCGCCGGGAGGAGCTGGGAGATGAGGTTCTGGTCGCCGGAGAGGAGGACCTCGTTGCCGACGGTGACGAGGACGATGTTGCTGGCCGGGTAGAAGGGCAGGACGTTCGAGTTGACCCACTGACCCGCCGAGTTGGGGTCGGCGGCCAGGGCCGGGATGTCGCCGTTGGCGGCTCCGATCACGATCCCGATCCCGGTGTTGGCGAGGGCGCGGATGATGGCCGGGTCGGCGCCGTAGAGACGGATTTTCTGGACGGCGGTGGATTGGAGGAGCTTGGCGGTGGCCGACGGCGGCGGGAGGTTGTCGGCGACTTGGCCGTAGTTGACTCCGATGTATGATTGGGACCCTGCAAAATTGGCAAAAAAAAAAAAAAAAGAGAGTGAGAAATTAAAAGGATAGAAATCAGATCTCTCTGGATTTAAGAAGGAAACGGAGAGAGAGAGAGATTGGGATTGGAAGTTATTCGCTAGAAGCCATTTTTGTCAGTGTCCGGTGAAAATCGGATTCAGGGGAGGAGGAGAAACAGAGTAATGGAAGAAGTTGGGAAAGTTTGGTTTTTTAGAGAGAGAATGATGAGGGAAAGAGAAGGGAGGAGAGAATTACTGGCGAAAGGGAAATGGAGGTGGAGGAGGAGGAAGGCGGCGGCGAGAGGGAGGAGGAAAGTCGGCGGCATCTGCTGCGGCGGGAGTGGGTCGCTTTTGTATCAGAGTATCAGATGCGGCAATTGCAAGTTGGAGGAACTTGGGTTGGCCTACTGATGATCTCTTTATTAGTGGAAGAAGAAGGAGAAGAGAGCTTGACAGTTTCGGAGTGCGCACTTTTGCAGTGGGGTAGCGACAATCTGCGGAGTTTAGTAGTAGCACAAGAGTCGACTGTCAACACCTACCAACCGTTGGCCCAAAATTTATTCCGCCTTTCTGCTCACTTTTACTTCAGGTTTCTATGGCCTTTTCCTAGAAAATAAAACTAGCTCACTAAGCCCAAGTACCAGCACTAACTCTTAGATCGTCGGGTACCTTTTTTTCAGAATGATAGTTTTGATCTGGTTTCTTCTAATCGAGAGGATGCCAGATCTACTAAAAATAACGGTGAAAAAGAAGTGTCATTTTGGAGGTTTTGTCGACAAAAGTTATTCGGAGCCATGTCTGCGACAATTCTAGGTTTTGTCGACAAAAGTTGTTCGGGAGCCATGCCTGCAACAATTCTGGCTTTTGACGTCTCAAAATGCTGATCCGATGATCATGCATCTTTACAAGCACGTTCTCACAGATTGTGCGGTGAGCCCGATAACAAAATTGCACCCTAACCATACATTCTCAATCAGTTAACAAAAAGATTTTCGAAATCATGGCATCCATAGGCAAATTTTGGAAGGCGAGCACCTGCCAAGGCAACATGTTAGCATTAATCGGTACAAGTGTATGAAGTTACCATTTCAAATAACGTTTTACAAGGATAAAAGCCTGGAATAAGACTCTATTTCCAAGCCAAGGAAAAGGTCGGCCACCATGCTATTTTACTCATTACAAAGCATGAGTTCTTTTCTCACTGAGTTCATTACTCATTACAAAGCATGAAAAGTGCACTTACAAAGCAAACACAAACAGTCTAAAAGGCTTTCGAAACGATATTGTCATATATATGAACGCCCCCATGGAAAGGAAAATGAGAGCGTAAAGACATAACGCTAAAGGTCATTTGGACTAACGGCAGCAAATCAACTCAAAACGGAAACATGAGAAAATGAAAGCCACTTCTCAACCACAAGCCAAACAAAGAAGAAGAAAAAAAGAATAATGAAACCACTCATCAAAACTCCGGTGACGGCCAAATAGTAGGAGAAAGAGAGGAGCTGCGCCAGGATACTTCGATGACTGGAACTTACCCTCCAGAGTGGGAGACTGGAGTGGTTTCGAACTTGCCATCCTTGTACAGGTGAACGTACTGCTGTGGCAAAGCATGCTCCACCTGCAATTAAGTCGAACGTAACCCATGAATACTAGCAACCGTTTGTAACAACCTAGATTCAGCAATTCGCAGCAACATGAATCTAGCTTATTCCAGATGCTTTTATTGATGAGAACATCATTATTTGAATCCTATAATCAGATGATTATACTGTCGAATACTATGAAACCTCAGATCTCCAAACTACGGCTACATACAACCTAGGTAAAATCAACATGCCTAATTCAGACTCGGACACAGCTAATCCAAGTATTGATTTGTGATCTCCGGATGGAATTTCTCAGCACATGGGCTATCATCGGTGGTGTTACTATCTGATAGAAAGATTGTGTAGATAATATTTGGAAATTTGATGCGCAACTCTCAGATACTAAACCGGGGGAAAAGAACATGGAAAATAAAACTTACCAAGTCCCCATCTGAGCCAGGCACCAACACATTGATCTCACTAGACTTTGCTGTAGTTACGGAAGTCTCGAGGGAAGTTTTACTCAAATACAACTGACAGCCACCAGTGTTGTCCACTGAGATTGTTGGAGCTGAACCCTGCAATAGAGGAGAGCCAAAACTCATTTACGGGCCCAATAACTGGAACCAAATACATTTTAACAATGGAAATGAGTTGATACGTCAGAGTTTCAGGATCCTTGTTTTCAGGATATACCTGGCATTGCACCTCAACCCCACTGCAATTCACAACCTCACAAGCGGCTACCACATCCTATGCATTTACATAAAAGGAACAGAATGAGCTCAGACAATCATCAGGGAATTTTGTTGTTTGGACTGCACATATTGCTTACTAACCGTAAATACCACCCCTGACTTGGTGCACTTGTCAATCGTTATATTATTAACTTTCCCTGCAAGTTGAAGTAGATAGATAGCTTATTAGTATTTCTCATAACAGGAAAATTCATCACAGTTCATAAACATTCTAACTTGTAGGTTTAGATAACTGATTAGCATTCCCTGTAACAGGAAATTCATCACAGTTCATAATCTTTCTTCTACCATACTACAGTGAAGAGATTGGGTTCATAGTAATGATGGAAAGTTACCTTGGATTTGCAAAACAGAATCTTTGCACCCATACATATACACTGACTGCTTTGAATCACACTCACTAATGACTAAGTTCTTTTGTCCAATCTGATTCTCAACAACCCACCTGTCAGAATATGCAGTGAATTGGCAAACAGTCATTTGTTATGCACAAATAACAATTGTCAACTGAAAAGTGAAGAGAACAAATCATCAAATAATGACAAAGATCACCCACTTCCGACCCATTTGAAGCTCAAACTTTGGAGGTCCTGTCTTAGGCTTAGCAAAGGAAGATGATGAAGCAGCTCCGCCTTTATCAGTGGTGGGAACAACACCCGTTCTATCAACACGGTTCTTTGATTTCATATCATCTGTGACCTTTCTCAGACCTAGAAAAGCAAGATATTGTCCTTAAAGAAGAGCACAGCTGGGAATCTTAAACCATCAAAGGAAACATAAGACAAAGGCCATACCAGCAGTCACAGGCTTCCCTGAATTAATTTCTTGGAAAACAGCTGACATGCCTTCCTTTGGTTTTGAGGATGAAGGCTGAGAAGATTCAGCACTGAAGAGAGAAGCGGGTGGGGGTGGTGGAGCAGCAGGAGCACTTGGCGGACCAGCTTTGGTTGGAGCAGAGGCTACAGTTTTACCGGTAGCACTCCATACTGGACCTAAGGGATAGTGTCTCTTAACATAATCCTTCAAAGCTGGCAAGTACAGTTCCTTCACAGCTTTGGCCCACTCAACATGATTTGGGTCTTTGTTTTTGTACTCAACAAGAATCTGAGTTTAGAAGATAGTTATCAGTAACGAATACATTTGCTTGCTTAACAACTTCCTTCCTTTCCAAAGCAAATCTCGTTACTACATGACCGCGATATGGAGATAGTAAACATCACAACAGTAAATTCCTCATGATATTACAGAGTCACCACGAAAACCTTTGTTCTAAACTCCTACCCGCTCTTTCAGGGTGGATGACCAGAAGTACTGAAGCTCAGGAAACCATAAGAAGCCCACTAAGCAACAAGCTATTAGATAATAAATAGAGGAATAGGGCACAACTGCTACAAGCAGGTGCCTTCCAAGATGAACGAGCCTCTCTCAACTCAAGCAGTACTGAACCAACCTGCATACTTGATCATCTAATTGTTCATTACAATGATTTGGGGCTCATTTCCCTATCTCAAATTATTATGCTAGTACCTATCTATCCTAACTAAAGTATTGAGAACAATGATTAAGTAATAAATTGAATGGCAGTGAACAATATAGAGCTGGAACTCGAACATTCTACTGATACTTGTCTACCACATTAAGTCTATCGAACAGTATCATTTCTTATTCCAAAGCTCGGTATGGCTTTGAATACTTGCAAATTATATATGTTCTAAGCACAAGCAGAGGCAGGAAACTTGTCTGAGTTATTTGTACCAATACTCGTCCACCAGATTAAGTAATACAAATGGGGAAAGCAAAATATTGTGCAACAAGAAAGAAGAAGGAAGAAGACAAGCTTTCCAGTCGGGGAATTCTATGCTACTGAGATGATAGCTAAAAAGGGATCAAGACCAATGGATGAAGAAACTTGAATTACCTTGTTATTGTAAAACTCGGCCATCTGCCAGCTTTCTTCCACATGTGCAATGGGCATGCTCATACCTTAACATATCAAACAATCCAATAATATAAGAAAATCAAACACAGTTTTCTGGATGGACACATTACAAAAGCAGCAACGGAATTTCACTGACCGCAATCTTTGCCGGTGTAAGCAATCCATGCTAACGCCGAAAGACTATCAGCAGCAGACTTCAAGTGGTTGAAGAAATCCGATCTCCTACCTTCAGTCATTGCACTCGCTTTCGTAATCACCACATTGAGAGGCCTAAGGAATTCGCCCAATCCCGCCATATCCGGTTTCTATTCAACAGAACAGGAAACAAAAGAAAACGAAGAACCATTTCCGTACTTAACCAGGTGCAATGGCAAACAAGCATCGCAAGAGGAGACAACACGAACAACAAAGGTTTACTTTACCTTAGTCTGTTTGATCTTGACGAGAAGCTCCCTCTCGACACTGAAAGCCTCACCGAGAACCTTCGTCACCTCCAGGACCTGTCCTCCTATCTTCTCAGCAGCGGCGGAAACCCTACCGAACGACTCCCGAATCAGATCGTCGAATGCCAGAATCGATGGATCCGACGAAGCGTCATCCCCTCCGCCAATGTCCCGCGATGCGAAGCCGGAGGAAGACAGCGCTTCCAACCGCGACACCGCCGATTCCAGCCGAGCAATCAGTTTCTCCTCCATGAGTCACCAGTTTCCGGCTCCGAATGGAAGTTCCTCGAACTCAGATGAAATGAAATGCTGGATCAGATTAGATCTGGCGGCAATCGGTGGTGGTGGAGCGATGATTGGTTAACATGTGATTGAGAAGCATTTATGGAAGCGCGACAGGAGAATGTATCATCTTTCTTTATCCCCTTTTTTCCAGCCACTTCCTCTCTTGTGTTAGTTTTCGCTGGGAGGCACCGAAAGGCAAGAACCAGACAAACCAAAAAGGCAAAAAAGCAAAAAAATGGGTGGGGATCGAGATGTAATTTGAAACAAATTTTTCGCTACTAGAGTTGGAGGGGTTTGACCAATCCGAACACGACACGTATACTTTTTTTTAGTACAAAGATAGAAAAATAACGATAATTTAAATACCCAAACAAAACTTGAACTAACATAATCCATTGTTTTTATAATTATAATTCGTATAGTTTAATTATCTGAGACTAAATTGTCTGCAATGAAAATTCAAATCAAAATAATGTACCAGTCAATATGCATACATTATTGGATTATACAAATGACCAACGATCATATGAACGCCAATTTTATATATGATTATGAAACAAAAAAAAAACGATTTTTATAACTGAAAGAAGATTACATTGTACAAGCATTGAAATTGGAATTTTTTTTTATAGAAAAAAGAAATTGAAATTTTTGAATTCAAAGTTCGATACCACAATCACTCGACCAACATAACTTATAAGCATACACTATTGCCAGCTTCTGCACGAATGTCATTTTCCCACTGCTAATAGGGCAATTAACGATCTCCTCCCCAGAACAATTGTTTTCAGACATTTTTGCCCACTGGGTTTACAGAGCTGAAGGTATATGATGAAGATCGACATAGCCAGCCAGCACGGTCCGATCTCTTTCTTTGACTTTTGTCTGGTAAAGGACCCTACAGACAATTAAATCGGAAACCAGTTTAAACCAATCAATTAGATGTTCAACTCACTAATCAGTGTTCTTTTCAGTAAGGATTGGTATTTTGGTATGCTTATTTACCTCGAGCCTTGAAGCCACATTTCGCTGATTAGAGTCTCGCCAGGGTAAACGTGTAAGAGGAACCTTCCCAGGATGTTCTTCACTGCATTCGCGTCTCCTCTACCGATGCATTTGATGACTGCACGGACTGCAAATCCAAGAGTGCACACTGCACAGTCCGTGCAATATAGGACGTGGGAATCTGCAATGTCGATGCAGAACATGGGTGCTGTTACTTTGAAACAACGACAACAATGTGAAAGAATAACTAATGAGGAGATAAAGGATTGGAGAGATTACAGACCCTGCGACTTTAGCAATGGCAGGATCTGAATCCACTGGATTATAATCACCGGACAGCCTATACAGCAATGCCTGAAATTTTGAGGGGAAAACAGAAGAGTTATGGACTACGGCTGGATTGGAAGGCATTCCGATCAAGCTATTGCTCATTTAATATGAGAGCGTAAGCCCAATTCCCGTATGGATCGTTAGGGAATAATTGTGGCCCAAGTGTAATTATTACTTAATGGTTTAATATATAAGGGAAGTCATATATTGGTTAGGTTAATGAAAAAGGTAATTTCCTAATATACCCTGATGGTGGGACTATATAAAGAAATCCTAGGATTGGTTCTCTCTCAACCCATTACGTAGAATTTCTTAGTCGTCATAGAAATCTCTAAACCTAAAACCTAAAGGGGTCAAGAGGGAGAAACTCAATTCCGGTGATTACTACTCAAGCCGCCGCCGCCGCTCTCGTCATGGATTGAGGTAGGTTTCCTTGATCTATTACCGATTCGTGAAATCATCTAATTCTAAGATCCATGCTATTATGATTTATGTTTACATGTGGTATCAGAGCCTTAGGGTTTATATGAATGGATGATTTTCGATTATGTATTATGCTCAATTAGTCTCCGCTGCGTTTATATCAATCGCTTATGCATGATTAAAGCTTGTTGATGCTTCTGATTGATCATCTGTTTATTCTATTGAGTCCACGCGTTCGAGATTTGTACACAATTGTATTTAACTTCTTTGCGGTTGGTCTTATGTCTGTCGAGCAATTATTCGCCGTTTATCAAGAACAAATATATGTGTAGTGCATGTATGTTTATGCTTACATGATATATTGATATGTTTGTTTCCTCAATTATAATGAATTGCGATGACAGTATCTTGCCTTTATTTCCTTTTCAACTAAAAATCATGATAAAAGCAATTTGGGATGATTACAATTCCTTTTGTATATGCGTTCGATTAATTAAGAGTTTGAGAAGGTTGATAAAGCCTTATGTTTGTCTCAATGATGATTAATATTGTTTTTCCATTAGTAATAGTATTTCAAAGCATTATTAACAACTGTCTTACCTTAAGTTAAAAATTTTACATTTAATATCTACTTTATGATTAATTTGTTAGTCACCAAAGTGGCCAAATTAGAAGGTTTACAGATATCAAGTTGAATCAAGTTCAACTACTAATGTTTATGTGATGCTTTTAAGTTGAAGTTCGTGATTATAAAATATTTTGAATCGCCCAAAGGTTGATTGCTCATTTTATAATTCAAGAACATTATCGTGGTTAATTGATATGCTTGGTTAGATATATTTAGTATATCCAAAGATTGCAAGTATATCTAATTTGAGTATGTCTATCACCAATTATATGATTATTTTGAGCATCAATTACGATTATTTATCGCACATATATTGTTCTTTTGCCCAAAGGTAGCACCAATATATATTGTATGTTTATGCTTCCAAATCTGTATTATAGTTTATGCTTATTACCCAAAGCATTAATGTGTGAGTACATGTTATATATGTTTGCAGCATCTGTTCCTGTTTCTCTTCATTCGCAAGCCATGTCTGTTGTTAAGTTTAATGGCCTCAACTTCTCTGAATGGGCTGAACAGGTTCAGTTTCACCTCGGTGTTCTGGATCTTGATTTGGCACTCTTAAGTGAGAAACCTGCTGCTCTTACTGATGCTAGCAGTGCTGAGGAGAAGTCTTTCCATAAAGCTTGGGAAAGATCTAACAGACTAAGCCTAATGTTTATGCGAATGACTGTAGCAAACAACATTAAGTCAACTTTCAATGATACTGAAAGTGCTAAGGAATTTATGAATTCCGTGAAAGAAAGCTCTCAATCTGAGTCTGCTGATAAGTCGCTTGCTGGGACACTGATGGGTACGCTAACCACCATGAAGTTTGATGGTTCTCGTAGCATGCATGAGCATATCGTCGAAATGACGAACATTGCAGCAAGACTAAAGACCATGGGAATGGAAGTGAATGAAAATTTCCTAGTAACGTTCATCCTTAATTCCTTACCTCTAGAGTATGGCACATTCCATGTGCATTACAATACTCTAAAGGATAAATGGAATGTGCATGAGTTACAAAGTATGCTCATTCAAGAGGAAGCAAGGCTTAAGAAACCAGGAAATCATTTTGCCAATCTTGTTGGTCATAAAGGAGCTGGAAAGAAACCACTGAACAAGAATGGTAAGGGCAAGGAAGGACTATCAAAGCTTAATGAGTCATCTGCCAAAATCCACAAGAAGGAACCAAGTAAGGATATATGCCGCTTTTGTAAGAAAGTCGGACATTATCAGAAAGATTGCTTGGAAAGAAAGGCATGGTTCGAAAAAAAGGGTAAGCCTAGTGCTTCAGTATGTTTGGAATCAAATTTAACTGAGGTTCCTTATAATACTTGGTGGGTTGACACTGGTTGTACCATTCATGTTTCCAAAACGATGCAGGGATTCCTTACGACCCAAACCATAAGACAAAATGAGAAGTTCATCTATATGGGAAACCGAGCCAAAGTTCCAGTTGAAGTTATTGGGACTTATCGTTTGGTTTTAGATACTGGTCATCATTTGGACCTTGTCAATACCCTTTATGCTCCTTCTATTTCTCGTAATTTGGTTTCGGTGTCTCAACTAGATAAGGCTGGGTATTTTTGGAACATTGGAAATGGTTCTATTAGTTTGTTCAAACAGAATGTTTTATTGGGTTTTGGTACCCTTGTTGATGGTTTGTACAAACTAAAGCTTGATACCCTATTCACTGAGACTCTCTTAACCTTGCATCATAATGTTGGTATTAAACGTGGTTTGTTTGATGAATCCTCTGCTTACTTGTGGCATAAACGTTTGGGTCACATATCCAAAGAAAGAATGGAAAGGCTAGTAAAGAATGAGATCCTTCCTCATTTGGATTTTACTGACATTGGAATTTGTGTTGAGTGTATTAAAGGAAAACACACAAAACACACACTTAAGAAAGCAGCCACAAGAAGCTCACAGCTCCTTGAAATTATACACACTGATATTTGTGGGCCTTTTGATGTTCCATCACTTGGTGGAGAAAAGTATTTCATTACCTTTATCGATGATTTTTCACGTTATGGATATATCTATTTGCTGCATGAAAAATCTCAGTTGGTAGATACCCTTGAGGTGTTTATCAATGAAGTTGAGAGGCAATTAGAAAGAAAGGTGAAAATTGTCAGATCTGATAGAGGTGGAGAATATTATGGAAAATATGATGAAAGTGGACAGTGCCCTGGTCCAATGCAGTCAAAAGCGCGATTCTACCTAGAAGCGGAAAATGGGTAAAATCGTAAAGCGTAGAATCAAAGCGTAAAAACTTAAGTTTTTTACGCATACTTTAATATAACGAAAAATGTGTTAAGTACGATTAAAATATGAGTGGACATAGTTTAGATAAGTTAATAAATACTTGTAATTCATGTCTAAAGTTGAGAAACTCATAACATTTTAACAATAAGTTCATAAACATATATCTTAACAATAAGCTACATTCCCCTTTATGCTAGTGAATTTGGGAAGGGCCTAGTTGGTGAATTAGATTACTCTATTGAAACTAAGAATGCACCCAAGTACTTTATATGTATCTTTAATCTCAAATATATCATATTTTTTGTGATTTACCTTTAAAATATAAGTATTTTCATGAATAGAATACTCCTTTAGTGAACTAGAAGCGTAAAAGCGTAAAGCGTTTTAGTGAACCAGAAGCGTAAAAGCGTAAGCTTTTAAGCTTTAAAGCGCTTGTTATTCCCGATTTTATACACTTAAGATTTTATATGGAAACAAAAGCGTTTTGGTGTCCTAGAAGCGTAAAACCGTAAGTTTTTAAGTTTTAAAGCACGATTTTGACTGCATTGCTGGTCCATTTGCTAAGTTCCTAGAAAGACGTGGTATTTGTGCTCATTACACTATGCCAGGAACACCGCAACAAAATGGTGTTGCAGAAAGGCGGAATCGTACTTTAATAGATATGGTGAGGAGTATGTTAAGCAACTCATCTTTACCCAAATCATTGTGGATGCACGCTTTAAGGACCGCTGTGTATTTGTTAAACAGGGTTCCTAGTAAAGCAGTTCCTAAGACACCTTTTGAACTGTGGACGGGAAGGAAACCCAGTTTAAGGCACCTGCATGTTTGGGGTTGCCCAGCGGAAGTGAGAATATATAATCCACATGAAAAGAAACTGGACTCACGAACAATCAGTGGTTTCTTCATTGGTTATCCAGAAAAATCTAAGGGGTATCGATTTTATTGCCCTAACCATAGTACGAGAATTGTTGAAACTGGAAATGCTAGGTTCATTGAGAATGGTGAAGTTAGTGAGAGCTTAGAGCCACGCAATGTGGAAATTCAAGAAGTTAGAGTGCAAATATCTTTACCTCTACCCTCTTCTCAAGTTGTTGCTCCTGCACGTGTTGAGCATGATAACGATTTGCAGGAACAAAAAATGAACGATCAAGCACCACCTAATATTGCTATTGAGAATGAACCTAACATAGATGAACCACAAGAAATCGCATTAAGAAGGTCTACAAGAAATCGAAGGCCTGCAATTTCTGATGATTATGAGGTTTATCTTCATTAGTTAGAATCTGATTTAGGACTCTATCATGATCCAGTTTCATTTTCACAAGCCATGGAAAGTGAGCATTCTGATAAATGGTTAGCTGCCGCGAAAGAAGAGATGAAATCTATGTAAAAAATGAAGTTTGGGACCTTGTTGATTTGCCTGAAGGTTGTAAAAGAGTTGGTAATAGATGGGTCTGGAAGACCAAACACGACTCTAATGGCAATATCGAAAGACACAGGGCCAGACTTGTTGCCAAAGGTTTCACTCAGAAAAGTGGTGTTGACTATAAAGAGACATTTTCACCCGTCTCTAAGAAAGACTCCTTAAGGATTGTCATGGCAATGGTAGCTCATTATAATCTAGAGCTCCATCAGATGGATGTGAAAACCGCCTTTCTAAATGGGAATTTAGATGAAGCAGTCTATATGGATCAACCTGAAGGTTTTGTGGTTGAGGGAAAAGAACATATGGTGTATAAATTAAAGAAGTCAATATACGGACTTAAACAAGCTTCCCGACAATGGTATATTAAGTTCAATGATACCATTACATCTTTTGGATTTAAGGAGAACATCGTCGATCGGTGTATATATCTGAAG